AACTATTTCATTAGCCCCACATTCTTCACCATATGTAGTTTTTTATTCCTACATTCCCACTACCATTCCATCCTGATTCTCAGGTTGTAACCTATGTATACTATTTTTCATTCCACCACCCTCTACCTTATACTTCCCCCCGGGTCGTATCTTTGTTCACATAAACTCCCCCCAGTTGGCATCCGAGTTCTGAAATGTTACCAGGGGAAATACCTCTGCTGATATCAGCAGTGAATGCAGAAGGTTAGAGCTGAGGCTGGGGTTACTGCAGAGTTAAGGTTGTGGTACTTAGGGTTTGTTTTAAAGCTTAGGGAATATCAATGCCATATGCACAATTTGACATTGACTTTAACTCTCATGAACTTAAGTTAGGAAATGATAATAGTTACAGTCCACATAATATTTCATTTTCTGTAGTTGAAATAGTCTGTTTAATTGGAGAAACAGCCCAGTATTTCTTATTGTTGTAGTGTTGTTCTTGTTTCCTGTTTGCTATAAATTGATCTTTAATGGTGACATACAAGGAATATGTTTTTTCTCACGCTGGGGATAAAAGTGAATATCATTCAACAGTGAACTTATGGATATGCCATAAAGTGACATAGTAACATGGTGGATGAGGCAGCAACAATTGACACCCCTTGAGGATAGTCGAGTAGGGCAGTAGTAGTGTACAATTGAGTCTTAGTATCTTCTGGTATTTCATTGTGGAGTATGAGATAGGCCCCTCCTGCCCAGCTAGTTGTGAATGTCGTCTCTGTCATCTTCAGACACACTCAGCCATGTCCTTCTGTGGGTCGAGGCCTTGGAGTCCTAAGTAGCTTTTTGTAGGCTGGTGGGCTAAAAAGGCTGTTGACAAGCTGGATTGGGGGGAGAGTGAAGTGAAGGAAGAGACTAGCTGGGGGAGGATATGAGGATTTGAGAGAAAGGGAATTTCTTTTAATTTTTTAAGAAATTGGTTGAGGGGAGGTGGGAAGTGGTTGTGTGCAGTGGCAATAGCACAACAAGCCTCCACCAGTGCCCCCCCCCCATCCGAGGCCCCCGGGAGCCCGGCAGGCACCTAGCAGCCTCCCATGCTCCGCGTTGTCTCATATCTCATTTAGGGAGTGGCCAAGAGTTTGGCACTATCATCTGTGTGCAGGAATTGCAGCCTGTAGCTTGTTTACGGTTTGGTTGGATAGCACTGGGCTTCCGTGCAGGCATGATGTCAACAGCTGGGTATCGTTTGCAGGTACATTTGAAAAGGACAGTTGACAATCTTCTGAACAATTGGAGCCAGTTATTATTATTGGTATTTATAAATCGCCAACCTATTCCGCAGTGTTTTACAATATTATAAAGGGGGGAAATTTAACACTAAATGAGACAATTACAAAATATTACAGGAACATTAGGTTGACGAGGACCCTATTCAAACGAACTTGCAGTTTAGAAAAAGTTATCTGTTAATAAACAGTACCAGTTAAAGTACCAGTTTGGGCAAAATTTACACTATCTTGGCTTTATTTGGATCAATGAAAGAATTTCACCCTGAAATAGATAACTGGGTTTCCTGGACTGAAATGTTAGAGCAGTATTTACTTGCCAATGACATTGGAGATACTGAATCTGTTTCTATTTGTATCACAACTATTGGTGCTAAACCATATGAGATTTTGAAAGACCTTGTATACCCAGGCAAGCTGGCCAACAAGTCTTTGTCTGAAATATTACAAAATTTAGCACAATGTTTTCAACCAAGGCCATTAGCAATTGCTGAGTGTTTCAAGTTTTAGAATCAACTCCAAGGGACACATGAGACTGTATCTGTATCTGCACTGAGCTTGAAGAAATTGAGATTTTTGACAGAGGAGAGCCTAAAATTTCATAAGGCATTCAAGATCGCTTCTAATTTGGAACAAGTCCCATCAGATATTAGTTTATTATAAACACAATTCAAAACTAAAGCAGAGGAAATATTTTTCTCCAAATTAAAAAAAAAAAACAACGATTGCTAACAGCAAATATTCAGCAAAAGCAACATCGCATATTAACTGTTATTGATGTGGAGCTTCTTAAAGAAGACTGGCAGAGGACATCAGCAAAGTGTATCAAAGAAAATCACATAAGAAGGGAAATCATCATATGGGTAATAGAGTAACCACATCAGATCTAGAAGAGAACGTGAAAGTGTTTGACTGTATACACGATGGTTGAAAGGTCTGAGCTTATGACTATCCATGTTAATATTGAAGGAAACAATTTGACCATGGGCTTAGAATCAATGGCTGCAGTTTTAG